TAATCAGATCTGCAGACGGCGAAGAACATACGCTGGCGTCTGCCATGTCTTCAGTCACGATTTTAGCACCCAGAGACGGTGGGGAGGCCGCAAGCTTTCGCCTTTTAGCACGTGCTCTGCGGGGCATTACAGACAAAAAAAGGTTTTCGTTACAGAAGAAGGATCAAAACGGAAACGCGCACTGAGTAGCAAGTATTACTGTTTTTTTTTACTACGAAAACTAGAAAGCGGTAGTAGGGAAAGGATTCACTACAATGGATTTTTTACAAAATACGACTATTTTGCCAGACTGTCAAACAAACTGGGAGAAAATTTTACCTTATATAGAAAGACGACTTTTAAAACGGACTCAAGTAAAAAAAACAGGCATTAATTAACTAAGAATGTCCAGATAAATGCAGAGCTTCACTTATCTTTGAAGCGGACAAAAATAAAAAATGCCGACTGTAAAATGTGCGAAGTCAGGGAAGAGTGAACACATGCAATCAAAGCGCACAGATCAGGCAGAGTATTCATTCCTGTGGTCAAAACCTGTCACAATGAAGGCCGGGACTCTGCGAGGAAACAATCATTCAGTCAGTTAGTGTATTTGAGGAACATAGGCTTACGCCTTTGAACTCCCAATTTGTACATAACAACTCGATAAATGAGCAAAAATGTGAAGAAAGTACAACATTTGATGAATGTAGACATCGATATTCATATGTCACTTGTCTCATGCCTAAAAGGTCACATAGTCCGCTTGTTGCTGCAGGATATGTCTGTCAAGCCAACATTTAAATGTCGCCACAGATTGAGACATGACCACCGTCTTGGGTGGGTTATTCCCCGGATGCACGACACGGCTGGAAAATAAATATTTTCTCACATTCCATCTACCCTGAGGCACACGTAGCTTGAAGGGATGTCCCCCGAGGTTAGTTGTTGTGGCGAGTTGGAAAAAGTCATCGCACCGAAGGGCGAAGTCGAAGCTACGCACGATACGGAAAGTTTGTATCAAGTCTCCGCGCAACTGCCTATAAGTCAGAGTATAGAGATTAAGGTTAGTTTAGCGGATCTCGTATGGCAGTACACCTTGACTTCTTATTGATTTTGTTGCTCTCCTCTGTACCCTTTCGAGCAGATTGTAATCCTGCTGCGTCCATGTTCTCCAGGCCTGAATTGCATATTCGAGATGTGGCCCTGCAAAATCTTTTCTTCCCGAAGCAAGATATCCTCGATAGGGGGATCTCCCATGTTCTCGGAACAAGTTAGGATAAAGCCTGCTTCCGTTGTGAAAACGGATTGGAAAAATTGGGAAAAATGCTAAGCTTTATTTGTACTCTCTGATATCTCCAAACCGTCATCATTCCTCATGACAGGAATGGGATTCCTGTTACGTGTGCTCTTCCGCAAATAGCTGCTGAGCGATTTCGGATTTTTAACGGCTTGATGAAGTAAATTGCTCTCGAAATCCCGTCGCCTCCTGAAAATCAGAATTTGCATCTTATTTTTTGGAATTTATATTCTTTAAAAGCTACAATGTTGTTGTTTTCGCGAAATTTCTTCCACAACCTTTCTTTCTTGTTGATCTACTTTTTATGTTCTCGTGTTACCCACTGAGGGCGGCTATATGTACAAAGCCTGTTCAGGGAAGTTTTTTTTCAGTTGGACTATTCTCCAGCGGAACGTCTGAAACGCCGCTAATTGGTAACGGAGTTGAAGAAGAGACTTGCAGCGGGAGAGAGCAACTTGGCCATTTTCAGGGGACGAGTGATACAGAGGAACGCGATGTTGTTTTGGAACCAGCCAGTCATCATGATGGCGGCAGCAACATAATATTGGCAAATCCGAGACAAACCGAACGAAGCGCTGTCGAATGTTGCAAACTAAAATTCTTTTACAGCAATGCTCAGAGTCTGTTTTCCAAGCTTGACGAACTGAGAATACAGGTAGCCGATACTCTTCCCGATGTTATAGCAATAACAGAAACGTGGCTGTCAGAGGACGTTGGCGATTGTGAGGTAGCATTAACAGGATACCATTTGTTTAGGAGAGACAGGAGAGGCCGCCGGGGTGGAGGAGTTGCCATGTATGTCAAGAGCAACTTAGCAGTGTGTGAGAGGACCGAGAAGATTTTTAACGACACAGAGGCAATTTGGCTGACTATAAAGGCGCGGGGATCTCAGTCCCTCCCCCCGCAGGCGGATCCCGACCCAGATACTTGTCTACTGAAAAGCATAAAAGAGATCGCCAGCCGACCAGACGTTGTTCTCATGGGGGATTTTAATGCACCCTGCATTCAATGGAGCTATATGCATGCGAAGTGCTCGATGAATACCTTCGATTACCATCTACTAAAGACAACCCTAGAAGCTCTACTCACGCAACATGTCCTGTTTCCAACTAGAGCTCGTGGAGGGCAACAGGCCAGTTGTCTGGACCTCGTTTTTACCAAAGATCCTGACAGTATAGACGAGGTGTACTACCTACCCCCGCTCGGTCGAAGTGATCATGCAGTGCTTTTATGCGAGTACTTGCTGTATTCTGAACCGTGTACAAAAGACACTACGAGGCCAAATATATGGAAAGGGGACTTTCGCCAAATGAGAGCTGAGGCATCACAAATAGACTGGGATGTTCTCTTCTCCGGAAACGTTAACGAGGACTGGACTTTATTCAAGGATCGTTTACTGCATCTAATGAAGAACCACTGTCCCTTATCAAAGCCTAGGACATCCAACCGTCCTCAGTGGCTTACACGAGAACTCAAAAGGGAGATCAACAAGAAAGGTAGGTTATGGAAAAAATTTCGCGAGAACAACAATAATGCAGCGTTTACAGAATACAAAGTTCAAAGAAATAAGGTGAAAAGTCTGATTTTCAGAAGTCGACGGGATTTTGAGAGTAATTTGCTCCACCGAGCCGTTAAAAATCCGAAATTGCTCTACAGCTATTTGCGGAAAAGCACACGTAACAGGAATCCCATTCCTGTTATGACGGGTGATGACGGCTTGGAGATATTGGACAGTACAAATAAGGCTGAGCACTTTTCTCAATTTTTCCGATCCGTTTTCACAAGAGAAGCAGACTTTACCCCATCTAATTCTGAGAACATGAGAGATCCCACTATCGAAAATATTGTGTTTCGAGAAGAAGCGATTTTGGAAGAACTGAAAAGCTTGAAGGAATGTAAATCTCCTTGCCCAACAGCTGGCCAAGCCACTATCCTTTCTGTGCCCAAAATAATTTGATGCTGGAATTCTTCCCACAGACTGGAAGACGGCCCACATTACACCCCTTTACAAAAGCGGTAGTCGTGCTCAGGCGACAAACTACAGACCCGTCAGTCTGACATCAATCTGCTGCAAAGTGATGGAGAAAACCATCAAAAAGGAGTTGATGGCTTACTTGGAAACCCACAACCTCTTGTCCAATACACAATATGGTTGCCGTAGGGGAAGATCATGTGTTACGAACTTGCTATACACAATGCAAAGTTGGACACGAGCACTGGACGCAGAACACACCGTGCATGTTGCCTATATTGATTTTCGGAAGGCGTTTGACAGTGTTCCGCACCAGCGTCTCCTACACAAGTTGAGAATTATGGGCATCGGTGGCAAACTTCTCAAATAGATCGAAAATTTCCTTGTCGGCCGCTCCCAAATTGTCTGCGTAGAACAACAGCAATCAAGGTGCACATTCATAGAGAGTGGGGTCCCACAAGGCTCGGTGCTCGGACCAACCCTCTTTCTCTTGTTCATCAATGATTGCGTAGATGGGTTGGACTGTGATTGTGCCATGTTTGCGGACGACATAAAAATCTGGAAAGTGATTCAGAATGCTGCCGATGAGACCAACTTCCAAGAAAATCTTTGTCGATTGGACGAGTGGTCCCGCAGATGGCTCTTGTCCTTCAATTTGAACAAATGCACCATTCTGCGCCTCGGAAATCAGACCCCTAGTACGCGGCAATACCATCTGAATGGAATGCCACTCCGAGAAGCAGAAACTCAGAAAGATCTCGGAGTCTGGGTTGCAGACAGCCTAAAGCCTTCTACACAATGCTGTAAGGCGGCCAAGGCCGCAACGTCAATGCTATATGCCATCAAGCGGGCATTCGTAGTTTTCGATGAAGACTGCTTCACCAAAGTCTTCGGCACGTTTATAAGGTCCCATCTCGAATATGCAATTCAGGCCTGAAGACCGTGGACGCATCAGGATTACGATCTGCTCGAAAGGGTGCAGAGGCGAGCCACAAAATTAGTAAGAGGTCAAAGTGCACTGCCATACGAGATCCGCTTAACTAACCTTAATCTCTATCCTCTGAGTTATAGGCAGTTGCGCGGAGACATGATACAAACTTTCCGTATTGTGCGCGGCTTGGATTGTGCCCTTCGGCGCGATGACTTTTTCCAACTCGCCACTACAACTCACCTCCGGGGACATCCCTTCAAGCTACGTGTGCTACAGGGTAGACTGAATGTGAGAAAATATTTCTTCTCCAACCGTGTCATGGAACCGTAGAATAGCCTGCCCGAGACGGTTGTTATGTCTCAATCTGTGGAGACATTTAAATGTCGCCTTGACAGATATATGCTGCAGCAACAAGCGGACTATGTGACTTTTTAACCATGTGACTAGTGGCATATGTGAATCAATATATGCATTCACTTAATGCTGTAATTTCTTCACATTTTTGCTTGTTTATCGATTTTTTATGTACAAATAGGGAGTTCAAAGGCGTAAGCCTATTTCCCTCAAATACACTGACTGACTGACTGACTGACTGAATAGACTTGACGAACTTAGAGGGTTAGTTGGTGAAATTAAACCGGACGTTAGGACATTCACATAAACGTGTCTTACGGAAGATATCGCTGATTCAGAACTATCACTTAGAGGATATCACCAGTTCAGGAGAGACAGCCCAGGGTGAGGAGGAGGAGGAGGAGGAGGAGGAGGAGGAGGAGGAAGAGGAGTCATAATATATGCTACTTGCAGACTGACCGCTAGGACTGATGTACATAGTCTGGTATGGGATGCGGAACTGTTAAGCATTACCATATCCGCTAAGAATGTCCGACCACTGACGCTCTCGTTTGTGTACCGTTCACCTAACCAGACTTCTAACCAGGATCTAATGCTCATAACTTAACGGTACAAAGCCACTGAGAAAAAAGATGTCTTTATCGTTGGGGATTTCGACGCCCCTGGCATAGATCGGCAAATGTGGACTGCGCAAGGGCCGCAGGACAACTTTAGTCACAAACTACTGCAATGGGCAACGGACGAACCTCTCCTCCAGAACGTGACCTTTGGAACGCGCGCTGGGGAAGGACAAAAGTCGGGCTGGGTTGATTTTATTTTATCGGTGAGGAGGAAAATGTGCTAAACCTGCAACGTCACCAGCCAATAAAGTTAAGTGACCACATCACGCTCTACTTCGAGTACACAGTGTTTTCTAATCCCAATCTGCCGAAAGGTGGGATAGAAACGTTTGGAAGGGGGACCCTTCTCTCATGGGGAGGGAAGTGGCAGCGGTATCATGGGAGACTGAACTGTGTGGTGGAGCAAGCGACAACCGGAATACTTTCAGTTCCTTACTAAAATAGGTTTTTTATTGTAACTTTCTTTTTAGAAGAATGATAATTACACGCCGCCCAGGGTGGATAAACTTATATTTACAAGACTCCATCAAAAAATCGTTTTTGGAGGCGTTACGGACTAACCGTTTCCGAAGAACATTTACTGGAATATAGGCAGCAACGCAATGTTTGTAACTTTGAGGCTCCCAAGTTGCGAAGGAATTTCGAACCGATCATACTGCAAAATTCGTTTGAACACCCGAAAATTCTCTATGGCTATACACGAAGTACTACAAGAACTCAGGAAGGCATGACTGCCCTCAGGTCTGCAGATAGAAAGCTGGGGACGGATGACCAGATTAAAGCGTCCCTCGTTTCTAATTTCTTTCAGTCCGTCTTCACCCGAGAACCTTAATCCTTATTTGCCTTCCCCCGTTCGTCAAACAATCTCTCCTCCTAGTTCCCTTCCCCCTTCCTACCCTCCTTAATCGGGGAACCACCCTTTTCATCGGTTATAATTAGGGTTGAACTACTCTGACTGAAGCCTGTCAAACTGCCTGATCCGGATAAAATTCCCGCGCTAGCACTGCGAGAACTTGCTAATGATCGTCCGAGGGCTAGACTGTGCTCTTCAGTTTGACAATTTCTTCGAACTGGTGCGGACGACAAATCTTCGAGGGCACCAATACAAATTGAAGACGAAATATGCCAAACTCGAGTTGCGGGCCAAATTCTTCTCCCACCGGCTGGTTGAGGGATGGAACAAATTGCCGAGCTCCGTTGTCTTAGCGGAAAATGTCGAGACTTTCAAAAGAAGACTGGATAAATTTATGCTTGATGGTCAAACATTTACATGACATCAATGACTGTTATAACTGCTATGTAAATATCTGCATGTTTTTCATACGCCTATCTGTAAATAGGGTTTTCCAAGGCTCTGTCCCTATCCCTCATATATACTGAATTATACTTAATTACTGAATCAAAAAATTAACTGTTCGAGCCACCCTCTATAATATTTCGAAAGTCATTTGAAGAAAGCGAGCCTCCGGGATAATGGAATTGCGCACTCATCACTCCTATCCATAAAGAATGCTCACGACTTGAATACTGAAATTATCGTGTCGTCAGTCTTACTTGCATAGGGTATAAAATAATGGAACGCATTAGCAAAAGACATCTGGTTGAATACTTGGAAAAAAACAAAATATTGTATGATGCCCAACACGGATTTCGTCCAAGGCGCTCCTGTCTAACGAGTGTTCTACACTCGCACAAGAAAAGGATAAGAGCCACCGACAAGGGTTATCCAATGGATGTCATATATTTTGACTTCAAGAGGACATTTGATAGTATCCCACACAGGCTTTTTTTACAGAAGATCTGGAATGAAGGAATTCAAGGAAGAATGGAAGAGAAATAGAAGCAATGAAGTGATTAAAAATGGACAAAGATATTATAGTGCTACCGTCCGACAGAGAAAGAGCCACCGTTGTGGTGAACCGCGTTGATTACAACGAGAAGGCACAAGCTCTCCTGGACGACCAACACTCCTACACGTCCGCAACCCCCTTGCAGGCGAAATCGATGATTGACCAGCTGACTGGACTCTTAAGCCGACTCCGGTGCAAAAATGTATCTCGCTTGACGAATGGCGCCAGACAAAACCAACCGACACAGCATTGGCCAGGTTCTATGGGCTATCAAAAACCCACAAGCCCAACGCTCCTCTGCGGCCAATCGTTGTCCTGAAAGGCAGCCCCACATACAATCTAACCAAATGGATGCCCCGAAAACTCAATTTTCTCAGAGAGGGCTCTGAAACGCCAGTCATTTCGGCCACCCAATTCCTTGCCGACATGGGGGAAAAACTATTAGACCCGACCAAATCATGGTATACTTCGACGTTGTCTCAATTTTCACATCCATCCCACCAGACTTGGCGCACGACGTGCTGTGCAAACGCCTCGAAGAAAATTACGACGGAACGACAGGGCCCTACAGATCCAGCACCTAATGCAGTTCTTTGCATTCTGCTAACGAACATTTTTTACCTTCAATGGCAGAACATACGAGCAAATCAAAGGAACACCCATGGGTTCCCCAATATCCAGCCTAGTTGCGGAATTGGTTCTACAAGAGATGGAAAAGGTTGCTTTCAGCTACTACGAACATGCGTTTTGGATGTAAGAACTACGCCATCTCAGGGACCAGTTGGCAAAGAACGGCTACCCAAATAGTTTCATCAGCCGCTGCATACGTACGCACTCATGACGGGCAAACGGAAGAGAGACACCAAAAATTTGGTACTTCCTACCCTACATAAAGAATTATCAGAGGCCACAGAAAGCATTGCGACAGAGTTAGGCGTGGGCATCGCCCATCCTCCGGTGGCAACCATGCGTAGCAGAATCATAAAGATGGAGGATCAGCTGCACGCAGGTGAGCAATCGGGCGTAATGTATCAAGTCTCGTGCCATAACTGTCCTTGCAATTACACAGGCCAAACAGTACGACGTCTCAGCTCGTGAATACTCGAGCAAAAACGGGCCGTTCGGAGAGGCGACCCACTATCTCAAGTCGCCACTCACACGCTGGAGGAAGGCCATGAGTTCGATTCCGCCAACATGCTGATATTGACGGGAGCCGACGCAAGACGGAGCGAGAACTGTTGGAGAAGTGAGTGTCGGACACCAACTCTACCGGTAGAAACATTGATTTGCCGACGTGTTATCACACATTCCGCCCACGCAGCCAGATGGTGCAGCTCACATCGCCGCGAAGTACAAACGGCGTCACTACGCAGGAGGACCATTGTGAATCAGGCGGCACAAACCAGACTTAACCACGGACGTATTCCTCCCCCTCCCTCCCCACACGACACAACGATATAAATGTTCACACGTTTCTGCACTCTAGCAGTCTCTGATGATGAACTCCAGTTCGAGTTCGAAAGGCGAGGCCAATCAATCTACCGTCCCAGTGAACGTGCCATTGTCTTCTTTCAATCATGAAAGAATGTTTAAATGGATTAGGAGTTATCTGTCCTCCAGAGTACAAGCAGTCGTCGTTGGAAACTCTGCCTCGGAATGGGCAAAAGTGGAAATTGGGGTCCCATAGGGTCTTGTCTTAGGCCCAGTACTTTTCCTGATTTATGTTAATGACTTTATCAGTTAACTGTATCGCCAGGCCCTTATATTCGCAGATGACATAAAAATATGGAGTGAATTCAAGTGAGATGATGACGCAAAGAAGTTACAGTTGGACATCGACAATCTGTGTGTTTGATCGAACAGATAGCTTTTGAAATTTAGCATGTCCAAATGCGTGGTCTTGTACCTAAACACCGGCCGAAATGCCTCTCTCAACCACCAGTACTATCCTAACGGAACGGCTTTTAAAAATGTAGGACTACATACACATCTGGGTGTATGGACGACCACAAGCCTAATGCCATCAGATCCGGCACGATAAACGTGCTGCAGTCTCACCAGAGCTGGACCTAAGCTCTCGACGATGGGCACGCGGTCCACATAGCTTTCATTGACTTCCAGAAGGCGCTCGACACTGTGCCAGACCACTGTCTGTTACACAATCTGAAAAATAGAGATCAGCGGCAACCTCCTCAAATGGATCTAAAACCTCCTTGTGGGTCGACAGCAGGTTGTGTGCATCGGTTGAGTAAATCAGATCTTGCTGTGGTCGAGCGTGGTGTTCCCCAGAGGTTTGTACTGGGACCCATTTTGTTCCTAATATACGTTGGCGATTGCGCAAGAGCTTTGGACGGCGCTGTAGCAATGGTTGAGGGTGGCTCGCCGATCGTTCTTACGGAACTCACTCGTTCCGTTGTGCCTTAAGGGCTCTCTCTCGACTCCAACCAGCGGCCGCACAGCGGCGCATAATATAGACAAAATGTTATTCCCGACAAAGACAAGGGAGACTGGAATGGCCATTTCTGGCTTATTAGCCATCGTCAGCCAGTCATACCCAATCCCGAAGTTTGGAACACCTGGGCATCGAACTCGCGACCTATTAGGTAGAAGTCAAGTGAACCTAACAACTGAGCCATGGGCCATTCCAGTCTCCCTTGTCTTTGTCGGTAGTAGCATTCTGCCTATATCATGCGCCGCTGTGCGGCTGCTGGTTGGGCTCGAGAGAGAGCCCGTAAGACACAACGGAGCGTGTGAATTCCGTAAGAACAATCGACGAGCGCCCCTCCATCACTGTATATTCCTGATCGAAACCGACAGGAAATCGGGCCCGGGGCCCAGTGGTTAGAGACGTGGACTTCTAACTTACAGGTCGCGAATTCGAGCCCCAGGTGTAAACACCTTTTTCTAGTATAAAAAATAGAGATGACTTGATTTTCTATCAAAAGATTGAAAGAAAGGATATTTTTG